CAATGCTGCCGGGACACATCCTTGATGCAAAGACTTACGAAATAGCATTGTTAACGGCTTTGACAAAGTATGCGCACAATTTTTCAGTAGTTTTGGTGAAATACCATCTGGGCCGGCTCCTTTGTTTACATTGATCGCTTGTAGTGCTTTCATCACGTCTACTTCATTGATGTCAATGTCAAACGAGATGTCACCACATTCACTCAGCAATTGATCCAAGTCGATATTGTCGCTCTGTGTATACTGATTTTCGAAAAAATCAGCAAATAATTCCGCTTTCGATACGTCTATGCTCGCAGTCTCATTGTTGTATGTATTCAACAATAGGCGGAATGTCACTTCTCTTTCTTCTGTCGTTTACAAATCGCCAAAAATGTTTTGGATTTGCTCTGATTTGCAATTGAATGCGGCTGATGTACGACTTGAACAACTGGCTTTGTAACTGCATGAACGAATCTGTGATGGCATTGTATTCGTCAAAGTTACCAGTTTCTCTTGCTTTTTTATACGCCTTTCTTCTAACATTTTTCATGTGTTTCAAGTGCTTTGTGTGCCACGGTGGATCAGTGCTCTTTTGTATGGTGATTTTTGGAACAAATGAGTCTATTGCCTCGTGTAGAACATTGCCAAATAATTGGAATGCATTCTCGAGGTCATCAATTCGATTTATCCCCAACAAAATGTCACTTGCAATGAAGAATGCATTCATCGCATCGAAATCCGCCGAATTGTATGCGTATATTTCCGATGATTGCGGTGATGTGGGTTCGTTTTCATCAATTGTCACTTCGATTTCAATTGCTTTGTGCCAAATGTCGGACTTAACCAATGGTCTTGTTGATTCAGTCAACGACATTTCGTAGAACTTGTTTGTGAAGATAAGATCCAAAACATTTCCGGCTGGATTTTCGATATTTGACAGCTGGTTGAATCCACAGTCGAACATTGTGTCAAAAACAGCAATGCCGCCCTCTGTCGACAAATTGATTGGCACATAATAATCACCATCATCGGCTTTGATCCATTTGACACCGGGCTGGTTAAAATCACCGCACACAATAACAATGTCATTTTCATTGTATGGGACCAGTTTCACAATCTCAGCGAATTCCAAGAACTTTGCAGTTTCGTGCACCGACCGAATGTACACTGCAAACACATAGACATTACACGAGTCGAACGAAATTTTTACACACACGTGCTCAAGGCCGCTGCGCTCTGATAGAATCAGCTTTTCACTGTTGAATTTGCATTCAACCGCGATCAGCACTCCTCCACCGTCGGTTCTATCACTTGTGAGTTCCGTCCGATCGCCACGATACACATTGTAGCGTTTGCCGAAATGCTCGATATCTGTAATGCTTTTTAATAACCACGTTTTGAAGAAGGAAAAACAATAAATAAATAACAATAACAATAAATTTATACGGAAAAACAATAATTTTTCATATTGAAAAATATCGAGATTTCAATGACCAATTCCGGCGAAATTTTGTACTACACCCGAAGAGTTAGCAAGCGGGAAATTGAGATTGGACCTTAATTCACCGAATTCAGCCATAAACCAGGCCATTATTATGCTCCATGATAAATCTGTGGAGGCAAACCTCATTTTTGAGCCAATTTAAGGTGCATTTTCCAAGGCGACGATTGCAATCGTCCACGATTTTTTTTTCAAATCGGGCGTCAAAAAACCACAAATAATAAATCGTTCACGATTTTGGCGTCAAAAAAACCATTGATCTCAATCGTTAACGATTTTGGCCAACGATTTGAAATCGTACACGATTGTAATCGCCACCTTGGAAAATGGACCTTTATATGGAAAATCAATCATTTTTCATATTGAAAAATATCGATATTTCAATGACCAATTCCGGTGAAATTTTGTACTACACCCAAAGAGTTAGCAAGCGGGAAATTGAGATTGGACCCATAGGACAAGTATAGTTGTCAGACATTGAATGGCGCTGTATCTATCCTATAAACATCGAACTAATGAAAATGTGTGGTGGTTCATGTCTTATTTAATATACAATAGTGGAAATTTATCCAATGCACAAACCATTTCTTCTAGTTCCTCTTACATTAGTGTAAGGGGATTCTTCTAAAGTTTAGAGAATGACGTTTGCATATAAATACATGTAAAAGACACTTTTAGGCTCGTCCTATGATTGGACCCTAATTCACCGAATTCAGCCATAATTCGGGCCATTATCACGCTCCATGATAAATCTATGGAGGCAAACTTCATTTTTAAGCCAATTTATATGGAAAATCAATCATTTTTCATATTGAAAAATATCGATATTTCAATGACCAATTCCGGCAAAATTTTGTACTACACCCGAAGAGTTAGCAAGCGGGAAATTGAAATTGGACCCTAATTCACCGAATTCAGCAATAATTCAGGCTATTATCAGGCTCCATCATAAATCTGTGGAGGCAAACTTCATTTTTGAGCCGATTTATATGGAAAATCAATCATTTTTTATATTGAAAAATATCGATATTTCAATGATCAATTCCGGCGAAATTTTGTACTACACCCGATGAGTTAGCAAGCGGGAAATTAAGATTGGACCTTAATTCACCAGATTCAGCCATAATTCAGGCCATTATCACGCTCCATCATAAATCTGTGGAGGCAAACTTCATTTTTGAGCCGATTTATATGGAAAATCAAGCATTTTTTATATTGAAAAATATCGATATTTCAATGACCAATTCCGGCGAAATTTTGTACTACACCCTGAGTTAGCTAACTATATATATATGTAAGATATTCCGCAAGACACCGTAGCTCACGATCGAAGTGAGTGCGGACGTCAAACATGTTGACGCATACACACAGTTCTTTCTACTGCCGCACGGAAATTTGTGATTTTCATCTACACTGACTTGAATCGTGCGATACGGTGCCGTGCGGCAATATTTTTCATATATAGTGGACCGATATAGTATAGATATCGACACTATTTAGTGATATTTCTATATATTATGGACACACTGCTAGGAATGCACATGGTGATAAACATGAAAGAATCAAATTAAGGTTATTCATTCGACCAGAACCAAATATTCGTAAAGTATTTATACAATTAATTGTTTCGAGTACACAGAAAGAAAAAATGTGGTATTTTTTATTCAATTTTGGTAGATTTAATATAAAATTAACCAACAA